CACACACACACACACACACACACACACACACACACACACACACAGCTTTGCTTCATTCCATCATTACAGTGTGGAGGTGAGACTGGGTTCTCAAAAGCCATTCCAAAGAAGTATAAAGCTGGGAATAATTCAATAACTATCCAGCGATGGGATTTTATATAAGAACCAGCCTAGTCAGATTTAGAGAATATTCTATCCACAAAGTTGACATCAAGATGATAAGACTTTTTTCTGTGGCTACAGTACTTCATTATTGTGGTAAGAAAGGGCCATAGAGTATTCATAAGAACAAAGCTGCATTTCTTTTAAATACAACTATATGTGCAATGAAAACTTTTTAGAAAGAAGCACCTCCAGCTTGAGGATGTCAAGAAAGGTTCCCAACTCCTACTTTGAGCTGAGTCTTAAAGGAAATGAAGGGCTTCAAAGGGTGGGATATGGGGCAGCTAGGTGGCGCAGTGGATAGAACACTAGTCCTGGAGTCAGGATTTGAGTTCAAATCTAGACTCAGACACCTGACACTTATTAGTTGTGTGACCCTGGGCAAGTCACTTAACTCCATTGCCTGCCCCACTCCACCCCCCAAAATGGGTGGGATATGGGTTGTTCTTTTATATGGAGGAAAGAAAGTAATGGGGCAATTAATTCTAGATATATGGTTCATCATTGGGAAAGGGAGTGATAAGTAGTATAGCTTGGCTAGAAGACAGGACAAAGAGTCCTATACTATACTGTAGTAGACCATATCGATGAGTTGAAGCCAGATCACAGAGTAGGAATGGAATGCAGGATAATGAAGTCTGGACTCAATTTCATAGTCTTTGGAAAACTTCTAAAGGTATTTTGGGGAGTTGATATGACCATTCAGGGTAACAGCAGGGTACACCACAAAGATCACAAGCTTTGGAGTTAGATTAACTGGATTCAAATTCAGACTATGTCATTTACTTCATTTATTTATTTATTTATTTATTTGCTAAAGCTAACCCTAACCCTAAGCATTTAACAACCTATCTACCCTCAGGTTTCCTTACCTATAAAATGAATTAGATCCAATCAAACTCCAAATTTTTCCAAGAATCAAAGACAGATTCATTGGCCTAGAGTTGTAGACCTGATTCTCTTTCCCTTTGAATGCTGGAACATTTACTCTTCTTGTGACATCTTTTCCTAAAAAGATCATTAATAGTAGCTCGGTAACCAAATCTATCAATGCTTTTTGTACCTCAGTACATACTTCACCTGGATCAGGTGACTTGAACTCATCACGAATTCTTCTTATTTCTTATCTCCTCACCTGTTTTAGGTACTAACTCCCTATTAGCCATTTTTGTTTTCACCTTGTCAGTCCAAAGATTATTTCCCTTGGCAAAGAAAACAGAAGCAAGGCAAGAACTGAGTTGAGCAGTGCTGCTTTCTTTATCAATTAGTTCCCACCCTCTAACTTCCCAGTAACAACAGTTCTATCCATTCTTGAACCTAATACAGCATTAAATATACATGCTATTTTGCTTGGATTTCCTTGTTACCTTCAGCTAATTCTGAGTATTTGTACCTGTCACACTGTTCTTAGAAGTCCACATAACACTTTTTATTTTCAACTATTTGCCCTTGCTTCCTAGATACACTAATCAAAATGCAGTAAAAATAAACGTGGAGATAAAAGGAAACATTCTATGAGTTTGAAAAGTAAAGAATAACTCACTTTTAAAATAGTACTTTAAGGCCTCAAAATCACTTTCTTCCCAAATCACCCTAAAGGTAAATCCTTTAGTATCTCAATGACAAGTACTAAGTGACAGATATAAAGAGAATGACTTGTATCTGGGTAACCATTTGTTTTATTTTATTGTATATCCATGCAAGTGTATACACAAGTGTTTTGACAAGCTATCCAAAACTACTTACTTAATATTTCTCATGCTATCCTTGGCAACAGAAAAGTAATGTCTCAGACTCTCAATGACACATTTTTGTCTACACATTACCACATTCTGATTAATTCTCCAGGTTTGTAACTGCAAACTTAGGTATCCGCAAATATGATGGTGAAAATTATGTTGCCCTTGGCTAACTGAAAAATAAATGTTAAACATGGAAGGTTTGATGATCACATTATAAAAATGATTATCACTTCAAAATATTTTACACCTTTTATTGATAAATTTTACTAAACATAAAGTAATGCACAATCAACTATTATTCAGAAAAGGTCAAAAGTACAGAAGGTATGTTTGTGTGTGTGTGTGTGTGTGTGTGTGTGTAGATACACACACTCTCTCTCTCCCCCTCCCCTTACATTTCCACCCCTTTTCAAAGACTTACCTTCTTTTTATCCCTCATTGAGCCTTTTCCTCGGACCATTATTTTGCACCCTGTTTCGGCCTCCAGTTGTTTAGCTGTTAGTCCTCTGGGCCCAAGGATTCTTCCAACAAAGTTAAACTGGAATACAAAAATTATTTATTTAGCCTTTTGTCATTGTATATCATTCATAAAACTAGTTAGGATGTTACTATAAAGTAATAATTAAGAATAAAGCAAAATAACTTTGTCTTAAAGCCCTTATGATTCTTCCTTTCAGGCTATTAGAAAATTGAACAAGGAGGAGAAATAATTTTTGACCTTGAAAAATTCCTTGAGTCCATGACTACAATAACAAAGATTGTACTGTATTTCTCTTATTATTTGCATAGAAGACCATTCAGTAAGCAATGATGGAAATGTTACAATTTGTATTGAAGGGTAGTAGAACCACAGAAATTACAGATCCTTGTAGTACTGACATATGTTCTCATAATTGACCACGACGCAACAGGGCAATAGAAAACAAACATAGGATACATTCCCTCTGTCTTGAAGAAGCTGGCATTCTAACTGGGGACATGACACTAAAACCCATGAAACAATTCACAGAACACTTAAGGTGAATTACAGTTAAGTACTTTACAGCATGGCATAGGACAATAGTGAGTACAATAAGTTGCTGAGAGGGTAGTAGGTATGCAATGGTCAAAGAAGGCCTCACAGAGGATTACTCTTGGGGACCTATAGAATCAGGAAAGTGACATTGGAAATATGTACCCAGGAAAAGGAACGGCAACAAAAAATAATACAGGTAAGGAAAATGGGAATAAGTATCAAATATGGACCAATATGACTAAAGCATATGGGTTATGAGTAGAAGTCATTTCAAAACTACAGCTAATTTTTAAAGTATAAACTTCTCCAAGAGAAATAAGGTCCATATTGATTGATGGTGCATAATATTTTTTAAAAAAAAAAGTGTGGGGGGGGGAAGAGGTTGATTTGTTTCACTGCTAATTTATTACATTATCTCAACTGGGCCTTACCTTCAGCAAAGCAATTTTTTTGCACTTCCCTATTAGACATGCTTTCCTTACACATCACAGCAGCTAATTCAAACCAAGGCATTCATTCTCCCCACTCTCTGGTGAGAACACTGACTCCTATTTTAAAAATTGGAGCCATTCACAGATAACTTCTCTCCTCATTTCACAAGAACTCACAAGTATTCCCCCATTTATCTCCTCCTTTCTCACATGAAGAGGTGGTCCTCTACATGCAACTTTGATCCCAACCTCCCCCCTCATTTTCTTTGGTATATTGTACCCACTTTTAACCCTCCCATTGAAATTGTTTTATCTCTCTCTACCTACAGCCTATACATAGTCCCATGTCTTCCACATTCTCAAAAATTCCTCACTTAACCTCACTATCATGGCTAACTATCATCTTGTTGCACTCCTTCCTTTCTGGGAAAATTTCCTTGAGAAATCTGTTTCTCTTTTGATGTATTGCTTTCCTCTACTCTCAGGGCCTTCAAAACTCTCTCCAAGCCAACTTCTCCTCTTAATAAAGTGAATTGGTTCTCTCAAAAGTTAACAGTGATGTATTAATTGCCAAATATAACTGTTTTTCCTCAATCTTCACTCTCCTGGACCTGGGACACTTCTTTATAACTATAATGCCATCCAGTACCTTCTCCTAAATGCTCTTTAGATTTTCAGGACACTAGGACTTTCTCCTGGATCATCACCTACATGTCTTACTATTCCTTCTCAATCTCCTTTGCTGACTCTTCATCAAGGTCACAATCATTAACAATGGATGTATCCAAAAAGGCTCTGTCCTGGGCCCTCTCTTCTTCTACCTCAGTACTGTCTTGTTTGGTGATCTTATCAGTTCCCTTGTATTCAATGATCACCTCTGGACAGATGATTCCTATTTCTATTTATGTAGTCCTATCTCTCCTCAGCTCCAGTCTCCCATCATCAACTACCTTTTAACATCTTGAATTAGATGTGCCATAGGCATCTCAAACTCAACAAATCCGAAACAGAAATCATTCTTTTCTCCCAAAAATCTCTCCTCAACTTCTATGTTATTTGTTGAGGCAACCACCATCCTTTTGGTCCACACACGTTCTAATCCTTGATTCCTCAAGTCAAATTTACACAATGTACCCAATCCATTCAAGCCATGCAATTTATAAAAATAACAGTGCTACTATATACAACTTCATCAATCCAGTACCCTGGTATAGATTTTTATCATCTCTCAATTCCAACAGCCTTCTGGTTGGACTTCCTGCCTCACATTTCTCTCCACTCCAATCCATCCTCCACTCAGTTGCAAAAGTTATCATCTTACCACATGTACTACCCCTCACTAAACTCCAGTAGTTTCTCATTGTCTCCAGGATCAAATACATAAAACCCTCTGTCTGGCATTTAAAGCTCTTCACAACATATACCCTTTCTAGCTTTTCAATCTGTTTTTTGGTTTATTACATCCCTATCTCACCTCATTCTAAGACACAGCTACACTGATCTACTATTCCCTATATATAACACTACCTCCTTTTCATTAGTTCTCCCCCATGCCTACAACATTCTCCCTCCTCACCTCCTCGATGCTCATATCCCACCTTCCTAAGACATCTTTCCCAGTCTCGCACCTCCCTGAAACTATATTGCATTTACATTGTAAATGAACAATGCAAAGAAACAGAAGAAAACAACAGAATGGGAAAGATAACAGATCTCCCCAAGAAAATCACAGGTATTCAGGTAACAATTCTTGCAGTGGCCATGACAGGAAACAAAAATGGTAGGGACTAAAGAGAGGTAGAAGAGATTAAGAAGAGGTGATGATAATACACAAAAGAACTATATAAGAAAGATTTTAACATCACCAATAATCACCACGGTATGGTTACTGATTTAGAGGCAGACATTCTGGAAAATGAAGTCGAGTGGGCCTTAGGAAGCACTGCTAACAATAAGGCTACAGGAGCTGATGGAATTCTAGCTGAGCTATTTAAAATCCTAAAAGATGATACTATTAAAATGCTGCACTAAATAAGCCAGTAAATTTGGAAAATTCAACAGTAGCCATCAGACGGGGAAAAAAATCAGTTTATGTCACAACATAACTGAACAATAAATATGTGTCTTGTCTATATGTAGTCATTTGTATATCTTCCCCCATTAGAATTCAAGGTCCTTGAGAGCAGGGTCCGTGTTTTTTATTTTCCTTTGGACCCCAATGACTTAACATAAAGTCTAGCATATAGGAAGCATTTAATAAATGCTTATTGGTTAGTCTATCCCCACCACTTACTCCTGTGAATCCAATTTTTAATTTCCAATCAAACTTTCCCCCCAAAACGTTTTGATATGGATGCTTACCTGTAGTGACATGTCAAACCAATAACTATCACTTAAAACAACAGCTAGAACAACCACCACCATTGTCATTCACTTACCCACCATTACCTTCATTAAAAAATTTAATCAATTGATTAAAGTGAGTTATACAAAGACTATTTATTTCATTTAGTCATATATCCTCTAGCACAGACCAAGACAAGTTTTCCACTTAATTTAACAGGTGCCCAAAGCAACAAAGCTTCAGGGCTTCCAAAGAGAGAAGAAAAAGGCACTTTCCTAAAACATTCAGAAGCTGAGCTAGATCAAGGAGTGGATTATGCATAAAAGAAAAGGACAAACTGTAAAGGGCCTTGAAAGACTGGATAAGAGATTTATAATTTATTTTCAAGGCAACTGGGAACAATTTGAGATTTTAAGTCAAAGAATAAAATCATCAGTATCATGCTTTAGGAACACTAAAGTGGGGTCAGTGAACTTAAAAAAAAACAAATTGATATTTTATAGCTCAATATTATTGGTTTCCTTTGTGATCCTACATGTTTTATTTTATTCATTCAACACTGTTTTGAGACAGGGCTCTCAGGCTTCACAAGAATGCCACAAGGATTCCTGACACAAAAAAAGGTCATGAAGCCCTGGAACACTGTAAATTACTCTTCCAGAAAATGGGAATAAAAATGCATGCCAAAGCCATATCATTTTTAATTATCCACCTCATTACTCTCCTTCATTAGCCCCAATAATATAGATCTGATTTCATTGTTCAAAACTTCCTTTTTGATGCACCAAGTATTTAAGAGAAGCATAAGATTCCTTACCAAATAAATTTTCTCTAAACAGTTGCTCCTACCCCACTATCATCTAAAAATCGTAATATTCATAATCCTTCAAGAATTTCAAAATGTTTTAAATACACATTTTCACTTGATCTTATACCATACTATAGCTTTGATCACAATCACCTTATGGCAAAAGTCCTTCATCATCCTTGTTAACCTCTTCTGAGTGTTCTACAGCTTGTTAATGTAGTTTCTTTAATGTGGTGCCCAGATAATTCAGTCTAAATTGACTGAATTAAATTGGTTATTAATTAATGCAAAAGAAGAACAAAGAATCATAGATACAGAGCTGGAAGGAACTCTAAAAAGTCCACAGCCTTTGTTTTAAGATAAGAAAACTAAGTCACAAAGAAGTTGAGCAATCTTCCCAGTGACAAATACGCAGTTAGTAAAGTTGGAGTTAGAATATGAATCTAAATTTTCCTAATTTCCAAGTTAAGTGCTCAATCCACTACACTAATGCTGCCTCGAAGGAATACGTGAGTACAAGGTTTGTCTTCTCTAACTAGATCATAGGTCTCTAGGGGGCAGGAGTTGGGTCACATTAAGTGCTCAATTAATATCTGATAATGACTGTGACTCTTTACACACATAACTTGTGTTAAGTACAACAGGACTATAAAGAAGTATAAAATACAGTTATTGGTCCTCTTAAGGAAACCACTTGTACCTCAGTTTTCCTCTTTCAGAATTTCTCTCTGATCCACACGGAGCTCATGAGAAGCTATTAAATGCATGGCTGAAATCACACAAAATTGTAGCACTGGCAATTGCTATCAACCAAGGAGGCAGACTAATATAGTGGAAAGGTACCTGACTCTTGTGATAGGATCTGAGTTCAAATCAATCTTTAAACCTACACATATATAACTTTGGGTAGCTCACTTCCTATGCTTAAGTTTCCTTTTCT